TAATAAAATTTAATGTGCTCTAGAGGTAGCCCATATTTCAAAAAATATATCATTTTGAATTAGTATTTATTCTTGAAGGAAAATATATAACTAATGTCATGTTGACATCGATTATTTGAACACTTACTTGATTATTATATGATTGTACAACATTTAATCATATTCTTCGAAATTATTTGTATTTTATTTTATTGTGAAGTTACTCAAATGACAAACATCACAAAATTCAAGATGAATTTTCAATATATCTGTTTATTTGATATTGCAAATGTGTATACTATATTTCAAGAAAAAAAATATTTTTATCTCTTAACATTAATAGAAAATAATGTTAATAACGATATTAAGTGCATTAAATATCGTTGAAAACTCCAGAAGGCTTGTATTCTTTTATCAATAATAAAAAATTATATATTAACAATATATTTTATTCTAACAAATTTAAAAGAAATTTTGCTTAGTTTTAAAATATTTGTTGCAATAGATGTCACGTAGAGATGATAAAAAAATAATATAAAATATCGTTCCATTTCTTTTGTATCATGCCAGAAGCAAATAAAAGAAAAATTACTGACATTCTCTTTTAGTATGCACTACACATTCATTAAAAATAATTGAATAAACATTATCATGAACTCCGAGTTCATTGATCCTATAGTGACTCTATATATTATAGAAGAATTGTACTTTTATTTTTGAATCAACATTGCAAAAATTTACAAAATCTAGATCACCTGCATCGCTGTTATAAAATATTGGTATCTTTGCATGTCGCGGTCCAACCTCCATGAAAGTTGGATAAAGCGTTCATAATTCTTTTTGCTTCAAATTCAATGATTCCTATCAAAATTTAGCGATTCATTTGTGAGAAATAACTATGTGAACAATAGTAATGCCCTGTTTGATCCATGTTCTTTCAAAAAATGCATTCTTAAATAGTGATTTAACATCATTTCAACTACAAATTCTTTAATGAAATAATATTGTACACAAATCCAAAAAATTTTCTTATTTTTTGACCACATATTTCACATTAATATGCTATTCAAAAATGCATTCTTATGAAAATAATGTGGCTCAAACAAGGGCTAAATTTTTAAGTACTATGATTTTTTTTTTATCTTTAAAAATTAGGAGATTTATTAACTATTCAAGTTTTCTAAAGCCTTCAAATTCAAGTAAATATATTCTTTAAAAGTATTTCTATTTCTAATAGATATTATGTCGATTATCTTGATTTAACTTGTGTTCCTGTAGGAGCACAACGAGGAATTATATTTGTATTAAATGAATATGGTATTAATGTTCTAGAAGAAACGCAATCCATCTTATATAAACATTAAGGAAATGATATTATCTGTTCTTGAAGAGCATGCCATTGTAATTTTAATATTTTTGAAGAATATTAATATGTTGCTCCAGAGGAAGCAAAAATAATAAATTTTAGTATTCTTGAAGAATACTATATTATGTTCCTAAAGAAGCACACATTTTTATATAATAATATTTTAGAAGAATATGGTAATTAATTTAAATGTATCAATATATTGTTCTATCATTCGAGAATAATCATAACTGGGTATATATCAATATTCATGAAGAGTACTATTTTGATATTATAGAAGAGCCAACACTACGTTATTTAAGAGAATAAAATCTTACTATTGATAATAATTTATTCTCTATTAAATTAAAGAGAAACATGCTAAGTTTTTAAAATGTGTGATACTATTGAAATAAACATTACATTGAACCAGAAGTTCAATTTGATTTTATTGTTTAGCATGACCGTTTAACCATTATTGAATCAATAATGAGATAAAATTAAAAATTCAAATGAATATTCAACGAAAAACTATAAGATTACTCAATTCAATGAATTTCTATGCATTGTTTGTTCTCTTTATCGATAATTGACTATTAATCATCACTAACTAAAATGAATACTGAATTTCTATATTTATAAAAATTAATTAGGCTGATAAATGGGACTCCATTATCCTTTACATTGACCATTTAGATATTATTTATATTTAATAGATTTGATACGTATATTAGATGATTACATGGTGCCGTAACTTGAAGATTGCGAAATTACTGGTCAAATTTTAAATTATGAGTATTATTTTCAAATTATACAATCAAGACGATGTGCTTTGTTAATGCTAATTATCTTAAATCACAACCTTTTAATAGGTGTTAGTTGAGATGTTGATAAACAGTTAACACCATTTCTTGTTATACGCTTCCAATTAATTTTATTGGGAACAAAGAACCTTCAATTTTTGTTTAAAGAAATGCTATTACGCATCGTGCCAACATTATAGTTCACCTTGCTATATTTGCTTATGGTCAGAGCCTGATTTCTTCATCTAATTGTTTGATAGTGCAATATGTGTACAATTGATCCACCGCATTGCACTAGAATGGAAAGTAATTAGCGCCGAGAAGAAATGGATAGTTTAAAACTTTATGTAATATCTCAAGATATAACATGTGATATTTTATAAAGCGGTTACCTTAAAAGATTTAATATGCCTGAAACATATAATTCAAATAATATTTATCATAGGATGTGAATACGCATTGAACTCTTTTCTCATTGACTAAGGTTTTGTTTCACTGAATTTTCTTGAAGACATATTGCGTACGAGATATCAATATTGAAGACATTGACATACAAGACATGAATAACTTGATACACGAATTGAAATTAGGGGTAGTAACTATACTCTTTTTGCTTCGATCAAGGCTTTAACAACGTAGCATTTTATTATTTAAATTATTTGTACTCTATTTTCATCTGTTTCCTTTTTGTGCCCTCGAAGTTTTGCCAAATAATATTTTAGTTAGATAGTTATTGCATAAATAGTCATTCAAGGAGGGGTATTATAAATATAATCATATTTATAAATGATTTTTATACTCATGCAGCCCTCCTCACCATGACTGTTGTATCTCTTGTAGCTCTAACTTTATTCTATAAATCTAAAACTTTAGTTCTCTATAAAATACGCACAAATATATTGACTTATTTCTTTGGTTCTCATTTTTCCTCACTAGTTTATAATAGAATATTAATTTATTTTTTTAGATTGAGTGATTAAAAAACAAGGAAAAATTTTGGATTTACATGTAATATTATTTTATTGGAGAATGTGAGATTGAAATTATGCAAGAGAAAAATGCATTTTCTTAAGAATGGAGTCAAACAATGGCAAAATATTTTGCACATAAATCTAAAAAAAAAAATTCGACTTTTTAACCACATATTTTTCAAAGAATCATTGTTTAAAACATCATTTTTTCCAAAATAACGACCATCTAAACAAAATCTTTTAAAATGAAATATAAAGATAATTATTTCATTAAGAAATAAACAAAACAGAACATCTCAAATGAGTTGGTCTCTTTTCGAATGCAAATTTACAACTAAGAAACAAGCCACGTATCATCAAAGGTTTACGCTAAGTCTCATTTAACTTTTTAATTGTCATTGAACTAACCATTTGACAAATCAAGTGTGGAAAAGGGTCCCTTCTTTGAAATCTTACAACTATAAACTAATTATTTACAACCTTAGGCATCTTTCTCTCTCCAACTATTATATATATGCATACGTGCCATGCGGTTCTAAAAGAAATAAGTGTAAGCCTTCAATTTTATGAGCATAAGTTTAATGAAGTGTTTTATTCATTTACTCTTATTTTAATTATTATAGACCAATAAATAAATAAAATAACAAATCTCTTGAAAATTTATAAGAACTTCATGTATTTTTCAAGTTTTTAATAAAAATATGATTCTCAAAATCATAAATACTACAAACCAATATTGTCTTGTTTGTGGGGGGAGAGAGAGCTATGTTGGTGGGCTGAATTTAGGATAGGGTGATTTTTTGCTGGATTTATTTTATTTTTTAAGTTTTAAAAATGGTTAAGCATTTTTGTTGAGCTGAATTTAAAAGAAAAAAAAATTTGCCAAAAGCCCCCCTTTCTCCAATGCCGATGGGTCTTCTCCATTAAACATAAAGCAGATGGCATGGTTGAACATTTCAAAGCAAGACTTGTTGCCAAAGGATACACACAAACATATGGAATTGACTATATGGAGACATTTGCACCAATAGTCAAGATCAACACAGTCCGCGTCCTTCTTTCCCTTGCTTCAAATCTGGATTGGCCCCTACACCAATTTGATGTAAAAAATGTTTTTCTGCATGGAGAACTATTGGAAGAAGTACATATGGAGTTGCCCCTAGATGTAATATACAAACTAAAGCTTGCAGACTAGTATGTAAACTAAAAAAAGCCTTATATGGCTTGAAGTAGTCCCCTAGAGCATGGTTTGGAAGATTTACAGGGGCTATGAAGGCTTTTGTATACAAACAAAGCAATTCTGATCATACTTTATTTTTGAGACATAATAAAGGGTCTTCAAATTTATATATGATATGAGCTAAAATTACTAACTCTATTTGTCAGGATGTTCGCTTCTACTTTTTTGTAGAGGAGTTATTCGATAAAGTTACATCGAGATAGTGTCATTTTAAAATCTCAACAATTATTCAAACAAATTTAAAAACAACTTTTGGTTTTTCAGAAACCCTGTCAAACATCATTAAATGATCTTTATAAGAAGATTTCAATATTTACAATATTGAACAAAGACTAATGTTAATCAGAAGCATTGCTTACCTAGAAGCAGTGATATGATATTAATCAATTTGTTATTTTAGATCCTACATTTGAGATGCCAAATTAGCTCCGATTTGTTTCTTATTATTTTAAAACTCATTTTCAATAAAATATTTTTACAATAAAATATTTTACACATAAATTTAATTTTTTCCTCGTACATCCTTCAAAATTCATTTTTCCGCCTCCTAACACCTATCAAAATGGCTGCCAGACTGCCACAATTTATGAAGCCTATTTTATTATTTTTGGCATCACCCACTTGCTATGCGTTTAATGGAGGCTACAGAAATTATATCATTCCTTCTAATCAGTAGAGCCCACCGCGTCGGTGCACCGGTGCTATTCAATCTATACATACACAATACATGCCCATATTTCAATCCACTCACTGGAAGTCCAACCTCCCGGAGTATTTGATCAATCCAACAACCCAATTGAATTTCTCCCATTCTTTCTTCAATTCCTCTGTCAACTGAAAGTTTCTTTAATTACTCTTATTATTTTTGTTACTAGACTGAGCAGCAATGAAAGATGAAGAAACCCAAACTACAGCACCAGCTGCTACTAGCCAGAAAGAGGGATTTTGCGGTGGATTGTTTGGCAGAGGCAGATACAAGATTTGGGTTTTGGGTGCAATAGTATTGCTTGCACTTTGGTCTATGTTCACTACCTCTGTTACTCTCAAATGGTCTGCTGTTAATCTTAAACACTCTTCAGATGCCTTGGACTTATCCATACATGGTGATCTTGACGTTCTGGTACATATTTTTTTAGTGTTATGTTACTTTTTGTGTGTTTACAGGTTTCTTTAATCTTGTTTTGGAGCTGTTGATTGATGAACCCTAAATATATGGTTGCCCAAATTGAGAGGAATTCGAAACAAAAAGGTGGAAAATGCAATTTAATTTGGGGTAAAAATCTTGGTGTAAAAGAATTTACAATAAAGAAAACAATAGCAATTCTCCTAAAGAAAACAAAGTGGAGAAATCTCTAAGTGAAGCTCAGTTGTTTGAGAAAATGTGTCAAAGGGATCTTTTTATTAGCAAAACTCCAATCCTTGTTTTAGGAGAACTTAGATCGTAGATTCAAAACCCCAATCCTAATTGTAGATTTATAACAGTTTCTTCTTGTAAACAGAGAAAGTTGGCACAAGTAAGATAAAAATTTAGCTTCTAAAAAGGACTTATTCAATTCACAGCTTAATGTCTATCTGGCTTGGAGTTACCCCAGTGGATGCAGGAATTGGTTATGTATAGTGTATACTGTGTCATGGGTAATTTTCTCTTCATGTTCTGTTAAAATTTGAACTTTGTGATTGTTGATTGTAGGATCTCGATGAAAGGGAAAGGATGGTTAGACACATGTGGGATGTTTACAGTCACAGTACTAGCATTAGGCTGCCAAGTTTTTGGAGGGAAGCTTTTGAGGCAGCTTATCAGGACTTGACCAGTGAGGTTGCCAGCATCCAGGATGCTGCCATTTCGGAGATTGCCAAGATGTCCTTCCTGTCCAGGGATATATATGAATCACCTCCTGTTCAATCAACCAGGAGGTACAGGTACAGCATCCTACCCGTTAAATTTCATCTAAAAGTTTAAGTGGTTTGCGCATCAACACGCCCCCCAAAGTTTAGGGCAGGATTCATTTTGACATTAAACGTTTGACGCGTGAACAATATTCGTAGATTGGAAGGACTCTAGACTGGGACATGATATTGTTATTTGTTATGAAACCATGTTAAACGACCTCATTTAATAAATTGATCGGTTAAGAGTGAAATTGTCTTCAATATGTTCCGGAAATGGAAACACAGTCGATGTTTAGAAGGAAAATTTCCAAATAGTCAAATACTGTTGATGTTATGCATGTTGGAAGTATGGAGCATAGGGAAAAATCACATTCAGATTTGAATGGTTTCCCACAATTCGAATTCTCTGTTTGAATTTCATACTAACAAATGCTATCTGCAGTCCCATATTCTATGCGCTTCATTTCGTAAATGAAATTTTAAGAACAAAAATTATCGAAATTTTAACAGTGCATTTTTTTTCTTTCCCTAAATGCTGGCATGTTTGATCATCTTTGTTCGGCTGGATCTGTTTGTGTGCGTATATCTGTCTTCATTTTTAAAAACAATGGTTGCAAGTTTGTGTAGTCAAAGGTCTACGCATAATTTTTTATGGATTACAAAAGAGCAAGGAGATGGATTTAAAAGTTACAGTATTATTATCTGTTTCTGGACAATTCTTGAATGGTTAATCGTAGTTGTAATTTTGTACTTGTCACTCTTCGCGTCTGGCATTTGGATTTACACCATCGACTTGACTTTGTATATTAAATTTCTTGTAAAAAGTATATGCATTTTCTATTGTACAGTACATCAAAGGATGAAGTTGCACCACGAAGATTGTTGAGGAAGACATGAAGGCAGTAATAAACACTGTGGATGTGGAGTTAAGAGGCACGATGGTCTATTGTAGTATCGGATTTTAATATGTTACATATTTTGTATGCATGGCTCAAGTTTAATCGTCCTATGTTCAATAATATATGAAATGTGAAGTATAAAAAGTTATTTGCATTATCATTGCGAAGTAATGATGTGCATTCAACGTTGAAGAAGTATAATGGGTGTGTTATGCAATTTCAAGAACAATTGTATATGCTTAGACCATGAAGTTTTTTTTTTTTTGGGATACTTTTTTTCTGTTCAGCTAACTTATACTTTTCAAAAGCTTCCGAAATTTTATAAGTTGATAAATTATTATAATTCTATTTAAGCTTTAAGTGCAATCGAAACTCCACAATGTTTTGTTATCATATAAGCATCTATTCTTATACTTTCATACTTCATTTGCTAGTTTTTCTTTCTTAATAGAGTTTAGATATGTTGTCCAATTTGGCTGCTCGAGCTTGGGATGTAGAATTTTTCCACTTTAGATCTTGTATAAAGTATTTAACTTTCCAATAGTGTACAAGTCGAAGAGGATAGAAGTAGGACGTCACAAATTCAAATCTACTTATATCATGTTATATGTACATCATTTTATACATTGTACGGTATTGGATAGTTTGAACTAATAAATAGTTTTTCTCCGATCAAATCGTACCAATTTGGATGATGTCGAAAGTGATGTACAAAATGGCTTAACTCACTTATACGGTTATACCTTGTGAGTGTCCTTCAAACTTGCAAATTATCCCAATTAATAGATTGACTAAATTAGCGTTTAACACGCCTATAAAAATGGCGGGAATTCTTGGCGCCATTTCCCTGCAAAGTTTATTCTATTTAATCCTCACCATATGGCACCTTCAATCCATGAAAATTGAAATCCTTTTGCGTTGCAAATCAACTACAAGCCAATCTCGAAAAATATTTTCTCTTGCCTTTAGAATGGCTCAAGCTGTGGAAACCCAAAATGGAAACCCTGAAATCAAAGAACCCACACCAAAAATTCAAAAGCTTCACAACAATGGCGTTTCTCATGAAATTGTTTCATTTTTAAGAGTAAAAAAACTCTCCGACAAGGCTTCTTTGCCTTCAAGAGCGTCCCCCCTCTCTGCAGGCTACGATCTTTCCAGGTATTTTTGCTTTTCTTTAGATCATTTTTGAATTATAAGAATCGAAAGAATTATGCTCTTTTTGTTTTATACCTACAGTGCCACGGAGACAAAGGTTCCGGCGAGAGGCAAAGCCCTGATACCTGCTGATCTTAGCATTGCCATACCTGAAGGAACTTATGCTCGAATTGGTAACTTTTTCCCATAATATTCTCTTTTTTCGGCATCTGAGTTTTATTTTTTGTTCAATTCGTTTCATGGGTTGTTTTCGGAATTTCATTTTTGAAGCCCCGCGATCTGGTTTGGCATGGAAGCACTCGATTGACGTGGGGGCAGGGGTAATTGATGCAGACTACAGAGGTCCAGTTGGGGTGATACTGTTCAACCATTCTGATGTCGATTTTGAAGTGAAAACTGGTGATAGAATTGCCCAACTGATTATACAAAAAATTGAAACTCCTGAAGTAACTGAAGTTGATGATCTTGATTCAACTGTGAGAGGCTCTGGTGGTTTTGGATCCACTGGCGTTTAATCTACGTAATTTGATTTGCAGATTTCGAAAATATATCGATTATGCTAGAATCTAGCTACTGATTGAAGAAGTGGTAGCATTTTGGAGAAGGGCTTGTGCTGATGGTTATTTGCTCCAGTCATTTTGTCGAACACTTTCTTGACAATGCTTATTGCTGCTAATAAAGAACACGTGCTTATTGCTAAAGTTTTCGTTAACTAAAAATTGGTTAAATTTTATTTCTGAAGACTTTTTATCTATTTATTCATAACGGATTTCATGAGATATAACAAATTTTATTACTTTTAGCATCACCAAATCTGTAAGAATTTGATAGTGAACTGAAATCTAACCATTACAGAATGAGCAGTGTCGATTTCGATTTTTAAATAGCAGTCGAGACTGCAGGATTTATTTTAAAAACACATAATTCACCAAAGCATTTGCAGTATTTATGACAGAAAATAAAAAGGATTCCATTGCCGGGAATCGAACCCGGGTCTCCTGGGTGAAAGCCAGATATCCTAACCGCTGGACGACAATGGATTGCTGTTTTTAACTCTTAGATTATCCTATAAATTAATAAAACTTGGAAGGAATGAATCCGGAAGCTTCTACATAAATGATTTTTGGTTATCAAGTTTGAATTTAAATAATTGCATTGGTTCTGCAATTAAACTTTTTGTGAAATAAGAAGAGGAAATATAGCCATTAAATTTAATTGCATTACATTTCATTTTTCTCTTTCCTATTTTCAATCACACAATATTCCATAAAATAATATTACACGTAAATCGAAAACTTTTCCTTCTTTTTCAACCACTCATTTTTCTAAAAAATACTATTCCTCCCATTTTCATTTTCAGGTAATGGGGGTCAAACGGGGTCATATCTGCTATTACAGATTTAAATATACGCCAAACCCTTGTATATTCGATATCTCTAAAGAAAATAAATGACAATTTAATAGAAAAAAAATCTTTTATTGATTAAGACTATTATTAGTTTCTCAACCCTCGAATCATTTTGCACAAAGCATCGCCCTCACAAAATTTTTGGTTTGAAGATTTTAAAAGTAATAATAGACTACTAGATGAACTATTCGCTTTGTCACGCAGTTTACTCAAATACAAAACCCAATTCTAAATCTATATACTTTTAAGTTTTAGTTTCTTAAAATACAAGTTAATAGAAAATTTTGTAATGGAAAACTTAAATCAAATCAGAAGTCATTCAATTTCAGATTAATAAAGACCTCATTCATTTCACACACAAAAAAAATAAAATAAAAAATGTATTAAGTACTTGTTTGAAAAACTTGAAAAATTGAGGTTAAAGTTAACAATTTATTTAAGTTACGTATTTTTATCAAAATTTCTAACTACATTTTGCCAAACATAGTAATAAGTTTCAAGCCCAACGATTTCTAAAGCTCAATGACATGACATATTTTTAATCATATGACAATCCATTGCATGCACTTTATTTCAACTCTCTACCTCTCTGAATGACCTTGCCTTCCTCAGTTCCTCCCCCTCCATCACTGCCTAACCATCTTCTCAACCTCCTCTCTTTCGATCATGGCTCCACCATCGCCATCATTGCCATTCTGACCTCTGATAAGTGTAGTTTCTACACTTATTTGAGATCTTAAATGATGATATTTTGTTATTCTTTGAACGGATTAGTACCTGATTTGTTATTTATTGATTTTATTAGGAAAAGTTCATGTTTTAAAGAAAAATTGGAAAAAAGAACGGAATGGCTAAATGAAGCAAATCCAAAGTATGAGGACCAAAGTATAAATATTTAATGGTTGATCTGGACCACAAAAGTTATTTTGAAGATTGATAGGAGTCAATTGAATGCAAATTAGAGTAAAAAAGGAAAGGGATATGATTAGAATATTACCATAAATCGACTTCCAATCATATAGGATATTTTCGAGATTTTTGGTCAACTTGAGACCCATTTTTCGGATGGAGAACGTTTGAATTGGAAAATTTGTATTTTTATAAGAATTGTATATCTTTTAATTAGCTTTCCAATGCACTTTGAATCACCTGAATCAGACACCAAAATAGAAAGTTATGATCAAAATACTGAAAGCTGTGCAGAGACAAAATTATGCGCACGCGAAGGCAACTTTCCTCATTTGATTCAAACTCTTTTGGAAGGCAATTTGGACTTGAATTTTGACCTAATTTCATCATATAAATACAAGATATGGGCAGCAATGAAGGGGTCTCTCTCTTGCCTCTTCATACACAATAGTTTCATTAAATCTATCAAGAACAATGGGTCAATTGCTATATTTTGAGAGAGAAGATCAAGTCATAGCAAAGAATTGAAGTTCAATTACATCAAGTTTTGAAGAATTCAACTTTGGACGTGAAGATCAACATCTTTTGTATTCTTTCATGACTCGGGTGATATTTTTCTATTATTCTTCTTGTAATTTATATATTAATATGTTAGCCTAGTTTTTCATTGTATTGGATGAGATGAACCCTATTAGTTATTTATTTTAATTCAAGACAAGTATTTATTTTAATTCGAGTGTTACTTGATTAATTTTGCATTCCCATTGCACTATTGAATTGTTTGGCAATCAATTGAATAGTTAGTTGCTTGTTGTAGTGTAGGAATACTCACAACGAGTCTAGAACGCGGCAAAATTAACATGTATAGTTAGGATTAAGATAATAACTATCATACATGCAATCATATGGATAACTTAAATTAAATGCATGATTTTCATATGAATTTGGATTAGGAATATGATTGGTCGTGTTAATCATAGGTTGGTGTATCTTGGAAAAGAACATTCAACATATTAGTGTTATCGATTGTCAAGAACTCGTGAAAGAAATTAGATTATGAATCAAGAATTGAAATAAATAGCAATAGGCAAAGTCAAAATCCAATACAATCCTCCATAATTTGATAAAATCACAATTTTTATTGTTTTCTTAGATTAGTTTAGTTTAAATCAAATCAAAATATTTATTTTGTTTTTATAACTAGAATTCCATACGAAACTAGTAAACTTGAATTAAATTTATTATCTGTGGGACGATAACTCTTAACTCACTTATTATTACTTGTCAACGATCATGTATGCTTGCGGGTATCACACAAACAACCTCCTTCTTGCTATGTGTAAAGTGGCCATGCAATCACTGAATTCCGTTTGCAGTGTGACAAGAGTGATTTGGTGATAATGTGGCTGTGAATCGCTACTTGTGGAGCCCACGATGATATCACTAGGCCAAGCTCTTGAGTTTTTTTAACAAACACCTCAAACAAATAAGCTAACAGGTCATTCTCATTACTTCCGTAGGGCCGACCTTGGCCCAAGGCAAACTAGGCCATTGTCTTGAGTTTCCGATTTCAAGGGGCCTCAAAGAAAAAATGAGGTCCGAGAATTTATAATTGTTTTGGATGTCCCTCCAATGCATTTTTACACCACAACATATCACATCTTTTTGTCAAATAAAATCTCACTAATGTTTACGAAGATTTGATTTTCCGAACTATAAAAATATACTGAAATTGCCCTCAAAGGAAAAACAAGTTTGAGAGAATCAATCTCTACTCGTGGCAGGGTCCATGTCTTCAAATTGTTACGGAAGTTATTCATGTCAACTAGGAAAGAACCAATATAATTTCTCATAGTGGAATTATAATATTTCTGACTTCAATTAGCCTCCGTTTGTATACAACTTGTTAATTTGCTTATAACTTCAATCAAAATTACATATTAATTTCAATCATATATTTATAATTACTACTTATTATTATTATTATTATTATTATTATTATTATTATTATTATTATTATTATTATTATTATTATTGTGTTTCTATTTAAAAATTATTTATAATTTGCCAAATGGGTGCTTAGTGTTTAAATCTTCTATAGTATTATAGGTATTTCACAAGATTCTCGTATCAAACAAATTTGTTCAGTCTATAGAGAATTGTGGAAATAATTGATGAGAAAGACAATATTATAGCTGTACTAGTTCATGCTTGGATATGATTGACACAAAATGTAAAAATTTCATTTCAAGCTATAGATAGATAGAAACTCACCTTCCATCCTAGCATAGACTCTGAAATAAATAGACTAGCACGTTTGTTACTATTGAACCTTAAAAATGCGCCAAGTGTCAATCTTATCTGACGTCCACGTAAGCAGATTCCAACGATCTTTAAACCAGAAGCTTTGTTGGAAAAGTACAAACATGTGTAACACTCCGAGTGTGTACTACGGTAATTTGAGCACCGGCAATAACATCGAAAATGAAAACATTGAAACCACGTGGTTTGTTTATGCAAGTAGTTTGTTTTCGTATATTTTTATATTCAGTAATTTATGCATGAATTGTCAATGAACTTTCGGGTTCTTTAATAAAAGATGAAATCTTTCAAAAACTTAAGAGAACTTAAAATGGGTGTATCGTTTGGTCACCGATATACTCCATAAGAGATGAGTGTTATGAAATGTTTATTTATTGTTATATAATTGTGTATGAAAATTGCACGTATCTTATTGGATATTTTTAAATATTCACTCTTCTATAATTTTTACAAGTTAGTGCGGGTTGATTGAAACAGTGACGAGATGGTGACGTGGACTGTCAATAGGATTCGAAAATGAAAAGCACTAAGTTTTTCTTTCTTTAAATTCATTAGTTAGATAGATACGTTCAAAGTCATGTTATTTAATTAGTTAGCTCAATATTTTTTTTTAAGAAACAATTTATATGTTTAGTTTTAAGTTTGTGAATATTTGAATTATTTTATTCTTAAAGAAAATTTATTTTTATCTTTTTGCCTTTAATACAAAGAAAAATAATTATTTGGTAATACTTCAAAATTTATGAAAACTTGGGGTGTTACAGTTTGATATCAGAGCACAAGTCTGCCTTCTTGTAGACAACCTTTTTTTTTTTTTTTTTTTTAAAGTTAATATTTCAAACCATCCCATATTTAGGAAAACTCTATTTAGGAAATTTCTAATAAAAAAAAATTATTTTCATAAACATTAAAGAATTAATGGCAATATAAAATTTTTAAAGTCTTAAATATGTAATGATATGAAAAGCTCTTGGCACGCGACGCTCACTATTCGACCATTCTTCAATTGATCTAAGGTATGAAATGAAATGTTATTCTTTTAGCACGATTACGAGGCTTCTT